ACGGCGTGCATGTTTATTCCTTGATTAAATAAATGGAAACTTTTTTTTTTGGTAATTTAGTTGTTTCTGGAGCATATTCGAATACCTTACTCGTGTATTAGCGTTAAATTGAAGAAATCAAATACAAACAGAACGACAAAAATCGATGCCACAACATTTTGAAATTGGTCTACTAAACACGATACATTGAACCATATGATAATGTGATGATATATACTCTCAGTTCTTCTTGCCACGGCCACACTTGACTTGTACGGCGAGTGTCTTCGCAACGTTCTTACACGAATCCTTCTTGTCTTGTTGGAACGTGCTCTTGTTCACTGGAATCACACACTCTGCTTTCCCCAAACAGTGCTGCAACAGTTTTTTTTATTGGTTACTTCTATCACAAGGTACACTTTATATAACAAAAAGAGAGACAAGATATGATATTTTACCTTCTCGATGACTTGCTTTGAAACAGGAGCATTACAAGTACCAAGTGTGAAGTTTCCACAAACACCGATAGGGTTTCCGAAGCTAGCGAACTCAACGGCTGCGATTTTCTTAGTGCCTGAGCATTTAAGTGTAGCCGTAAGACTCACATTATCTGTGATGGCTTGGACCTGATCTTGCTTCCTAGTCCAATGTCTAACACTTGGAGTGTAGTTTTCACCGACATAAGAACAAACAGTGTCTCTGTTAACGATGACAAAGTCCATAAGCTCAGGCTTCACATTAGGCTCTTCCTCAAAGATAACAAGAAGGTTCTTCTTGGGCTTCAAGAAAGATCTAGGGATGTGATACTCTATTTGTGTAGGTTGACCTAATGGAGATAAGAACGATTGCCAATATCTTCCAACACCTTCTCCGTTCACCCAAATCAACCCTTTTCCCATTCCGTTCATGCGAATCGCCGCTGCGTTTAGGCTCTCTGGTGCATCAAAGTATGCCTGCAATGTTTCACATTCCTTAGAAAATTTCGACATTTCTTACCAATCATACTCTATATAGTCTGATTTTTTTTGTCTATTACCTGGTACCATGTAAGTCCTGGTGCTTTTCCGGTGAATTTTTTCCATTCGACCTTCTTTAAACCTTCCTCAGTGTGGATTCCGAGTTTTTCACCTTCCATACCGATCTAAAGATCGAAAAAAAACAGATCAAAACAAATGAGATATAAACTCAATGTTGTAATTCAATAACAGAGGAATTTTGAGATTGATTTCAAACCTTGTTTCCCCATTTGCTGCTCTCAGTGAGATCAAGTGTTCCAGAAGTCAATCCTAGGATGGAAACACCACGAGGACCGGTGTATCTATGCTCCATGTAAGATCCACTGTCCTGTAACAACAAAAAATCCCAACATTAACGAAACAAATCTTCATCTATATAAATTAAGATTTTGAACTATGTTTGTTAATTACTTACTGGGAATCCTGTGAGAACACCAAGCATTATAAGATGATTCTCTCCTGCTTTAAGTGTAACCTGTTTCTGGAAAACAAAACTCTTCTCTTCATGGCTTCCATGTCCACTTCCTGGTATATAAGAAGATATCATTAGTATAGCTCATTGTTGTACTTGTAGATCATTCTTGCACAATTCTTACCAAGGTATTCGCCGTTAAGCCAAATGTGCAACGCGTGTCCAAGACTAGCAATCCTCACAAAAGTCTTAACTCCTTTCTTGGTAGGTAAGTGATTCTTATGAACCTTGAAGCTGCAAAGCAAAATTCAACTTCAAAATTCTCTTCTTTTATATTCGATACAGAATCACATAAAAGCAAAGTCTTTACCTTGTTGTGTACCATCCATAGTCTGTCTTGTCTTTAGTCAAACCGTAAAGCTCAACAGGTATGTAAGAGTTGCCTTCCAGTTTACTAGGCAATGTCTCAGTGAATACTTTGAAATCAAACTTCTTGTTCGCCTTTTTAGACTTCATAAAGTTCCTTGAAGTGTGTTGAGAAACAATCTGGTCCAATCCAAACAAACAAGAACGTGTTAAATACTTTATTCTTTTGTTGTTGCTCGAATAAACCAGAAGTTTTCTTCACCTGTGCAGTGTTGTAAACAACAGTTTTACAATCGGGAAGAATACTAATGGAACGAGGCGCGATCACGTATTCTCTGCCCTTGAATTTGATAGTTTCTGCAGCTTCGGTATTGTTGTTAGCCAAGAAAGCGGCACAAGTTTTGGTTCCAGGTTGTTCGTAGTATCTAATCTGTTTTTACAAACCAAAAAGTTGAATCCTTTAAAAAAATTTTGGGAAAAAAACAGAATCTATTTTTATGTGTATATGCATATATGCTAATACCTCTGTATCTTTTCCAGGTTTCTCGGTTTTAGGCTGACCCCAAAGAAGTGGCTTCTTGCAGAGGTTAAGAGCACTGTGAAGATGCTTAAGATGACCATACTTAGGCTCTCTCTCTAAACCATATTCATCAAGAGGTGCATCATCGTAGTATCTAGTGGTTACATAATGTGCAGAGGTTCTTCCAAAGTTAGTCCCTCCGTGGTACTACAACATTATAACACAACAATCAAAGAACCATTTTGGGAATCATTTTTGCATATATAGTTAATGCGAATGGGTCATTATTGTACCATGTAGTAGTTCACATGGCTTCCGTTCTTGGAGAAGAATCGAGCAACTGAATAAGCGATATCTTCTACTGATCTCTGAGTTGGCGGATCACCAAACACGCGGAACCTATCAACGAAATTCGCAAGATATTTAACACTTATACGAATGAATCTAAAGTTTCTGCATTTCTAATTTAAGAGTAAGAAAAACAAACTCACTGAGTAGTCCAATTCTCAGTCCATAAAGATGGTTTGTTTTCTTTGTTTGGACCGGGGAAAGTATCACCGCAATGTCTTCCATTACAAGCATTGATCTGTTTCCACATCAATACATCAATACTCTTTTCTTCCTCATTCAGAGAAAACACAATCTGGAAATAAAGAAGTTTACCATAGGATCAGGAGCGTCGTTCTGCTTGCACATAACCCATGGGATCCCGAGTTTCATTGAGTCAACCAATTTAGATGCCCACTTAATGTAGTTTAACCCGTCTTGTTTATATGCACGTTGAACCGCGCTATACTCGTTCTCTATCTGCAATTCATATAAATATTCATTACAAAAAATCATCCTTTAATAACATTTTTCAAATCATATATAGATTTTTATTTATTTTGTCACCTGTCCTAATATAATGGGGCCTCCTTGTGACGCAAACAATCTTTCCTCCTTCATTTTGTCGAGTATCATCCGTACATACCTTTCTGTATGTTCCTGCAATAGTATTTTTGGTCATATCTTTTAATATATTTCATTGTAACAAAACACACATACATTTGGACATTTATAATACCTTGAATGGTTTATTATCTGTACGGAAGAAAATTCCAGGAACTTCTCTAAGCCAATAAGGAAGTCCTCTGATTACAAAGAGATCATATAAAATGTTAAAAGGAAGAAGTTGAGAACGACAAAAAGAAAAGAAAAAAAGAAGAAGAAGCAATGCATTATTACCCATGAGTCCATTCAGCTTGGATAAACGGTCCAAGCCTTAAGGTCACATACATGCCATTCTTCTCAATCAACTTTATGAACTTCACCAAATCAGCTCGTCCAGAAAAGTTGAACTAATGAAAAACAACACAAAATACATTAAGAATCCTAATGATTCATGCATGCATATGTTTTATATGTTCTAGAGATCAATTTGTGTTTAAGAATAACCTTTCCTTGTTGAGGCTCATGTACATTCCAGAAAACGTATGTCTGAATCGTGTTCAAACCGCCTTGTTTGGCTCTCTTGATGATACTTGGCCACATCTAAACCAAACCCAAATGGCACAATAATCTCAATATATCAAATACAAACAAAAAAAAAAACTTCTACAAAAACAGAGATGATGTGATTCAATAAGTACTTCAGGAGTGCTTCTAGGGTAATGAATAGATCCAGAGTAAAGAAGCTCTCTTTTGCCATCAATGATCAAAGAGGTTCCATCATATGTCACCTCCTTATTACTCTTCTTCTTCTTCACGTCCTTTTTAGCCGCAAAGGAGGAAGAAGACGAGAGGAGAACCACAAGAACGGCCGCTAAAAGCCATCGATCAAGAGAATGTTTTCTCATTGAACTCTCTTCTTTTTCTTTTTTGAATTAATTTTTGTGTCGTAGAACAAGAAGCTAAGTTCTCTTGGAACCTCGTCCTTGTCGGAGGAATAAAAAACAAGGAGAGCTCAAATAACAAGCTTTGAAAAAAGAGGATGATATAAGAGAATGTTTCGCACTCAGCTTTTCAGGTTTCCAGAGAATTTTACGCGTCTGAAATAGAATCCACCGTTGTAATATTGAAGCTCTTGATTTTTTCTTTTTCGATTTTTTTTTGCTATTTTTAAATGTTTGTTTAACCCTATTCTTCGCCTATTATGGTGGACAAAAAATACGCAACAAATTGCCATTCTTATTCTTTTTGTCCCTATAACAGATTCTTTAACGGTCAATTAGTGTTTTTAACAGATCTAACTAGACAGGTTCAAAAGGTTCTTTACCGTCCGTGATTGGTTATATAAATAATATTGACCTTAAGTTCACATTTTTTTTTTGTGCGAAACTATTAACATTTTAAAAAAGAAAATGTATGCAAAGGTGGCTGAAAAAGGATAAAACTCCAATCACATTGCATGCTAAAAACAGCTACTTTTTTAAAAAAAAAATCAAAATTATAACTAGTTTTAGAATCCTAATGACAAATTTGGCAAAATCCATTAAAGCCAGTCAAACTTTAGCTAACAAATTAAACATGACTAAAATTTCACTGGTATTATTATATATTATTAGATTGACAATCTAAATTGTATAATTTTAAAAAAGTACATACAAATTATTATTTAATTTTTCATCCCATAAATTTTGGTAGGGTCTTGTGTTGGGGAACGCACCAGCTAACCAAGAAATGCTATTTAATTCTTACCCAAAAAAAAAAGAAATGCTATTTATTTTAATTTTTGTAATCTTAGTAAAAAAGTAGAAAAAAAAGAAAGAAAAAAAAAGGAAGAAGAAGACCAAAGAAATTGAAGTGCATGTGAGGCTGCGTAGGAAAAATTAGGAAGACTCTAGTCTGGGAGAGACTCTCAGCAGCTATTTCTTTGTCTTCTTCCTCTTTAAAGAACCTCACTCTCTCTCGTGAAAAATCCCCAATTCGTGAAAAAATTAGGGTTTTTGAAGTTTGAAGAAAGAGAGAAAGATGAGTGCTTCAAGGTTTATTAAGTGTGTCACTGTCGGCGACGGTGCTGTTGGAAAGACTTGTTTGCTCATATCCTACACTAGCAACACTTTCCCCACGGTTAGCTTAAAGTTCTCTTCTTTTACTTTGATTTGGTGAACTTCAGCTTAGGGAAGTTGGATTTGTTGTTGCCTTGTTGGGTGTGAGTTGGTGCTTATGGTGAAGCTTATGAGTTGGATTTAGTCATAAGTATCTGGTGGGTTTTCTTAAAGTTTTGTTCTTTCGGCTACTCTAGTGAATGTACTGTAGTGATCTTTAGGATTTGAGAGTCTCAGGTTCATGTACCATAGCAATGTTTCCCTGGGATGTGTTTGATCTGTTTAATGATCATAGAAAGTGTGTTAGATAACTTTCTGAAAGGAGTTTTTGTGGCTAATGTTTTAGTGGAATTTTCTATGTGACAGGATTATGTGCCAACTGTGTTTGATAATTTCAGTGCTAATGTGATTGTGGATGGGAACACTATCAACTTGGGATTGTGGGATACTGCAGGCAAGTTGTTACCTTGGATTTGTCTTCTTCTTTCTTTATCTTTTGAATTTCTCTTTCTCTTCCAAGAGTCATTCGTGTAGATTCATTCGTGTTTTTGACTTGGTGAAACAGGGCAAGAGGACTACAATAGACTAAGACCTTTGAGCTATCGCGGTGCAGATGTCTTCTTACTTGCATTCTCTCTCGTTAGCAAAGCTAGCTATGAAAATGTTTCTAAAAAGGTTTGATCTTTGTTTGTCCCCGGAAACTTCTTGCCTTGTTTCATCCAGTTTTCACTCAGTGATTCTGATAGAATCCATCTGGTTTCTTGCTTTTGATTCTCAGTGGGTTCCTGAACTGAGACATTATGCTCCAGGTGTTCCCATCATCCTCGTTGGAACAAAGCTTGGTTGGTTTCTTTTTAGCTCAACTCTTAATCACCCGATTACCATTTTTTTCTGTTTTTGGAACTCTTCTGATATTTTGATGACTGATTCTTTTACAGATCTTCGAGATGATAAGCAATTCTTTGCCGAGCACCCTGGTGCTGTGCCTATCTCTACTGCTCAGGTACCTTTTCTCATTCTCTTCTCATGAGATTCTAACTGAATCCTCGGATGTTAAAATTCTGCTTGTTTCATCTTTTGATGGTATCAAAATAGGGTGAAGAACTAAAGAAGCTGATTGGGGCACCTGCTTATATTGAATGCAGTGCAAAAACTCAACAGGTAACAACCTGAGAGTCAATATCTTTATCTAATCTTTACCCGTCTAAAACCGCCAATTGAATCCCCTGATGATTCCCATTTCCGTTATCTGTTCAACAGAATGTAAAAGCAGTGTTTGATGCGGCTATCAAGGTCGTTCTCCAGCCACCAAAAAACAAGAAGAAGAAGAAGAGAAAATCTCAGAAAGGTTGTTCTATACTGTGATTCAACAAGAAGAAAGGAATCAACAGGAGAATTAGAGCTAGAAGTATCTGTTTTCTCCTTTTTCATAACTTGTTTACTCAAGGAATCAAAAATCTGTTGTTTGTAGTCTGAAATTGACAAAGTTGAAGAACTAGTAACAAGTATTTGTATTCTTGTTTGCATTTTGATCTGTAAATATACCACGAATCCTTGATTTCATTGTTTCCTAGATTCTAAGGATTTTGTTCCAGTTAAGTTCTTACGTAGCCGTTATTGGTATTGTTGCAGAGATGATTGCAACATGAATTTAGGAGACACTCGCACTCTTTCTTGTTTCTTCTACTTAGAAACCATTCTTCGTTTGCCAATTCTTGTTCAAAAACTCATACTTTGCAAACAGAGCAAGTTGGTAAGTTTGATTTCCATAGACTTGCTGAACATTAGCTGGTCTGATGAACAAAACTAAGACAAGAGTACAAGACAACAGAAATTTACCAACTTATACAAGTCTCCTCCTTTGTATTAAGTATAGAAAAACAAGTTTTGGTCTTTAGTTTTGATGATTTCAGAACCAAAGTGTTTCCCTCAAATATGAACAGCCTTGGAAACATCGGTTGGGACATTCCCTTCCTTCTTAAAGAAGAAAACTTTTGATTTTTTGATCAAATTTCTTTGATATTTATTTTGCTTATTGACTAGACGTTTTCTCCTTGGAGATAAATATATCAAAGAATGATTGATTTAACGTTGACAGAAAAGACAAAAAAGAAATCATTGATTAAATAATACTATGGTCAATAATAAGCTTGGCTTCCTCTTTACCAAACATATCCGTTTGTTGATCAATCTCTTTCTTTGCGTTAACTACCCCTCGATTTAGACCCACGTATTATTCGATTCCTACAACACTTATTGAAATGGTTAGATATGTGTCAGGGCGTTTAGTGAACTAATAATCACCTAATATGCATTGATTATTGAAATCATTGATTAAATAATACTATGTCTTTCAATCACTATAGGATTTGCATCGTTCTCGTGAAAAGCATAAATTCACATGCAAGTAAATACATGGGAATAGCATTAGGACTCTTTGTTTTCCATTTGTGTTAACTCTCCCAAATCGCTTTTTTTTTTTGGTTAAAGTGCAAATAGCATCTTATACATTCCCCATTACATTATCCTACTACCATTTTACAATTTCTTTCTTAGTCTACTTTATTTTAGAGGAAAAACAATAACTGAGATCTTCACAAAAAAATTGGAAGCTTTTTAAATATATGAAGAAGAAAAGTGCGTAATGTGCACGGGACTTGGTTCATTTAATTCTCGAGCCATTGCCGTACGTAGGAGGCAGCCTTCAAGGCAATTGAGTCGAGGCGTGTTCGTTACGTTTTACCCGCAATAGCCGGTGGCTACACACTCGCTCGTCCCCTTTGACTCACCGGATATCGATGGTTTCCTCTAACTAACTTTTTTTTTTTCCTCCAATTTTTTTTTATAAAACTCTTAAAACAAAACCCGTTGTTGCCTCTTTTGTTTGCTCACTCCTCTCTCTCTCTTTCTCGCCGACACTTTCTTTTTCACTCGTGTTCGTACGTAACGTTCTTGATCCGGTAGATTTTTGTATCACTATCTTTTTCTGCATAATTGACACAAAACACTTGTTACAATGGAGTTTTTGTTTGTTTGATTCCTCTGTTTTTATGCAGAAAAAAAAAACGAGCTTCTAGCTTCTCGTCTAATAAAAGTGAAGTCTGAAAAGGAATTTTAGTTCACAAGGTTGTTGTAGTTGAAATCAAGATTCAAAGCTCTTGAAGATGGTTGAAGAAAAGAGGAAAATTTCAGGAAGATCGGTTTCGCTTCCATCGATAGACATATTATTAGACGAGAAACCAGGTTGGCCTTTTCTTAAAAGAGCAACTTTAGGGACACCACAAGTTCACCAATGGCACACACGAAAAGTCTCAGTGGTCAATTGGGTCATGAGCTTACCTGAACGGTTTCCACGTCATCATCATCAGACTCTAAACTATGAGACAAGCTTGATCAAGAAACAAATCAAGGACATTTTGAGAGACAACAAAAAATGGTTCAAGTACAATGTTCTTAAGAAAGCAACATCAGATTTCTCTCAAGGTACTCTGTTTTCTCTCTCTGTCTCTCATGATGAGTTTGTATTGATATTTGGTTTTACATGACAGAGAATGTGATTGGGAAAGGAGGATGCAACGAAGTGTACAGAGGGATTCTTGAAGATGGAAAAGGCATTGCAGTGAAAATCTTGAAGTCATCATCTAAAGAAGCTATGACAAATTTTGTTCATGAAATCAATATTATCTCTTCTTTGAGTCACCAATACATCTCACCGTTACTTGGTGTTTGTGTCCAAGACAATGAACTAATCTCCGTTTACAATCTTTCAACCACGGGAAGTTTAGAGGAAACCCTTCACGGTAACACAACACTATCTCAACTTCACACATATGTATAAGATTCAAATTAATTTGGTATAATGTGTGATGCTTGATTCTGCAGGTAAGCGAAAGGGAAAGTATGTATTATCATGGGAAGAGAGATTCAAGATAGCTATCGGGTTGGCAGAAGCGTTAGACTATCTTCATAACCGATGTTCTAAGCCAGTGATTCATAGAGATGTCAAAACTTCTAACGTTCTTCTATCAGCTGAGCTCCAACCTCAGGTAATGTAAGCTTCTAGCTTTGATTTATATACTAATTGTCATTAGAGACCGATTATATTTATTATGATTTTGAGAATAGCTGTCAGATTTTGGTCTGTCGATGTGGGGACCGACAACATCGTCTCGATATTCGATACAGGGTGATGTGGTGGGAACGTTTGGATATCTTGCACCGGAGTACTTCATGTACGGAAAAGTCAGTGATAAAGTCGATGTTTACGCCTTTGGAGTGGTTCTGCTTGAACTCATATCTGGAAGACATCCTATTTCACCTCAGAATCCTAGAGGACAAGAGAGTTTGGTCATGTGGGTAAGTTTCTTTTCTTTTGCGCTGGTTACTTGTAGCGTAAGCAACACTTCATGTAACTTCAAAAACGATTCCTTGGTATGCAGGCAAAGCCTTTGATTGATAGCGGAAATTTAAAAAGGCTTTTGGATCCAGACGTTACAGATATATTCGACGAGTCTCAGTTTCAAAGAATGGTACTTGCTGCTTCACATTGCCTCACAAGATCCGCCACACATCGTCCCAATATCAGACAAGTAAGATTTTCTTTCCTTCTCCAAGAAAACTAAGTCCCACATGCAAGAACTAATCTTTAGTGTTTCTTCAGATACTGAGGCTACTAAGAGATGAAAACGAAGCCGGGAAATGGATTATGGAAGACGATGAAAATGGAGATTGCTTTGATGACGAGGTTTACCCGAATTCCAGCACAGAATTACACTTAAGCCTTGCGATGCTTGAGGTGGAAGATGATGAATCTGCATCAATCAGCAGCATGGAGAGAAGTAACAACAGCCTTTTTTCTTCTACTTTTTCATCTAGGGAGCTTCAAACATAAGGAGTTCTGCTTTTAGTTAGGGGCTAGCTAGGTTAGAGGTTTGTTTCTTTAGTGTATTATGGAGTTAACTTGATAACTTCTTGTTAGTCTTGAGCTCCCTGTTATCTGAGACCAAAGAATTCATACCCAAGATGAATCATTTTTCAGCAACAACTATGCCTATCTCAATTAGGCATTTTCTCAAAATACCATATATTATGCTTTTGTTTTTCCTGAAGTAATCAAAATCCAAAAATTCTTAAAAATTACAAATTTTAGATTTAGGGAATGTTAGTAAGTTTTAGGATGATATACTAACTTTTTAAGGAAGTACTCACAAACTTTATGTTACGAATCTATGCTTGATTTCATATTAAACCAAACATGGACTCACGAATCTGCATCAAACAAAAAGCAAAAAGAAAGAACACACAAGCTTTTTGTTCACCCTGAGTTCAGCTCTCGGTGTGAAAAGCCTACGTCTCAGGAGAGGGAAGACGGTCCCTCAACCAATCCACTATTAATCAATGAGATTACAAGTGTTCTCTTTAAGGAGATTGTACTCACATCTCTCTCTATCTCTCTGTTATAAACATAACCCAAGATACATGAAGAATAAAGGAAGAACAAGAGAAGAGAAGAGAAGAATAAACCCAAGAAGAACTCTCTCACCAAGCTCTCTCTTTCTATCTCTTTATCTCTTTGGAGCCGCACAAAGGAGACGACGACTCAACCCTTCTCGTGTCATCTCGGTTCTCTCTTATACCAAAGTCACATTGTCATGACTTGTAGTCGGGCGTAAAACAATTTAGTCCAGCCCAACCTGCAACTCTAAGCCCACATGTCTAAAACCATAATCGTATCTTACACTTTAAGCAACTACAAATATGTTTAATTTCATCCAAGTAATTCTATTTAACCGTTATTAAATTAAAGCAAATTTATTTACGAAATCTGGTATTTAATTTTAAAAATTTAATGACGACTTGACGAGGGGTCTACATTGGAAGGCGTGGGATAAGCTTTGTCGTAGTAAATCGGATGGTGGAATTGGTTTCCGGAATGTAGATGACTTTAACACAGCTTTGTTAGCTAAGCAACTCTGGCGGTTGATTACGGTCCCTGATTCCTTATTCGCAAAGGTATTCAAAGGAAGATATTATCGGAATTCAAATCCCATGGACCCAATTAGATCATACTCACCGTCTTATGGATGGCGAAGTATAGTATCTGCTCGACCTCTGGTTAACAAAGGGCTTATTAAAAGAGTAGGTTCAGGAGAGTCAATTTCAGTTTGGAATGATCCCTGGATACCTGCTCAATTCCCGAGGCCAGCTTTAAGCAACAGTCATAATCATGACCCATCTCTTCTTGTGAAGTGTTTGATTAATAGTCAAACAAATTCATGGGATATAGAATTAATTAGGACTCTTTTTGATCCTAAAGACATTCCTATGGTATGTGTCCTGCCTTTGGGCTTACAAAACAGTCCGGATGTCATGGGGTGGCATTTCACAAAAACCGGAAAATATACGGTTAAGTCTGGATATTACACAGAACAAATGAGGAAACAAGATGAAAATCAAACTCGTTATTTTGGCCCGGATATCCGGCCGTTACAGGCAAATTCATGGAAACTTCAATGTCCACCGAAGTTGAGACACTTTATTTGGCAAGTTCTTAGTGGATGTGTGCCGGTAAATTCAAATTTAAGGAAAAGAGGTATCAATTGCGAAACGGGTTGCGGTAGATGTGGGGCCTCCGAAGAAACAATTAATCATACAATTTTTGAATGTCCCCCCAGCTCTACAAACTTGGGCACTATCGCAAATACCAACGGTCCCTGGAATTTTCCCATCAACCTCACTATATGTGAATATGGATCATTTATTTTGGAGGACACCAACAAATTCCAACAGTTCAAGTTTCCCTTGGATTATGTGGTACATCTGGAAAGCACGGAATGACAAGATACATGAAAACATTGACAGAGATCCCAGAGATACTCTGAAATTAGCGGAAAGTGAAGCAAATGCTTGGACCTTAGCTCAACTGGAAATGGTAAAGGACGCACCGCCCCGTGGGTCAGCTGAGTCAGAGGTTATAAACACTACAGGGTATCGATGTTTCATTGACGGCTTTTGGGAAGAGAGTGACAACTACTCGGGTTTAGGATGGTTCTGTACACTACAAGGTGAGGATGAACCAACCATGGGCGCTGCTAACCTTCGACGAAGTCTCACATGTCTACACACAGAAGTGGAAGCATTAGTTTGGGCCATGAGATGTATGATTGGCCAAGACAAACGCGAAGTAAGTTTCTATACAGACTGCTCAGACCTGGTGAAGATGGTGTTTTCCCCGACGGAGTGGCCAGCTTTTTCTACCTATCTAGAGGCCATTCAGAGCGACAAGGATGAGTTTGATTTTTTCTCTTTATCTTTGATTTCTCGACGTGCAAATTCAAAAGCGGATAACTTGGCACGAAATGTTCGTACCCAACCGCATCTAATTACCTATGTAAACAATATCCCCCAGAATTGGCTTGTATAAGCTAATCTAATAAAGTTGTTGACAAAAAAAAAAAATGACGACTTGAGATGCCACATTCTTTTGTATATTTGTCCGTACAGTATTTCGTATTCGGGTTGCTTGACATCTTAAAAAAAGTGACTATTTCATGGTGTAATACTGTAATCATATATATAGGGGGTGATTGGTAAGTACTTTTAAAGCTTTAGAAAAGGTTTTTATTTATTTTATTTTTCCCATTATATGAAAACCTCTAATAAAATTCATTGGAAAATTAATCTTAAAAAGTATTAACGAATTTACAATTGATTTTTTTTTTTCAGTTCTTTTACGATCCATTTATGTATATAAAAAAGAACATCAGATATTACATTTGATACAAAAATAGAAAAATATGAATGTATAAAAACTTTTCATAAAGTTCTATGTATTAATTTCGTTGTTATATCACAATTTGGGTTTATATTCATTGTAATTTATTTTATTTAAAATCATAATTTTTACAGCCACAATTTCTACAGTTTTGTTGTTACCAATCACATTTTAATAGTTAAAATTTCTAAAATTAAAGTATTTGCAGTCAAAGTCTCTACAGTCAAAGTTTCTACAGCCAAAGTCTTTACAGCGAAAGTCTTTACAGCCAAAAGTAACAGTCGTTACCAATCGGCCTCATAGTTATAGATAATGAAAGATGAGAGATTATATTATTGTTTGGACTTTCATAACATATAATTGTAACAATTATTCATTATTACATGTATAATGGGGTTATGCTAATTTATTTGGCGTTTACGGGTCTGCATAATATTTTTTTTGTCTTATAACAGGTGGGCTCTAAAATGTTTAGAATATTGTTTGATTTATTATTAAATAAAAATTTTGATATTTCAAGCCAAATAGGACTATAGGAGGCAAATGGTCTAGAAATGTGAAATTGACACGTTATTAACACCTAATTCGATTTGAGCATCTTGATATTTTCTTAAATCTTCGTAGACCTCAGCAATGCATGAAATTAGAGCATCTTACTGTCGCCTAACATTTAAGCGTAATTGATCTGAAATATGAAGGTCTTTTTACGCATCTATAAATCTATTGCTTAAAGAGGCTTAAGATCAGATCTCAATACATCATTTTGTATTCAAAGTTAACGAAGAACGAGCTTATTTCAAAGGTGTCGGATGAAGAACCAAAAACATAATAGAGAATATCGAATACATAAATAAATAAACTAAAGTACCCACACTAGCCAAAAGAGTATAATATTTGCATCAAACTTTCTTTTATTTTAAAATATATAAAGTATAAACCCTAAAAGATAGGTACATCTTTCGCGATCACTATTGTATACATCAATCAACTATTTAAGTAATAGAAGCTTTCCAAAAGAGAGAAAAATAACAAGTTGATAGTCGATAGTGATCATTGATTAACGATCCCTTTTTTTCAATCACAAAAGATAAAGTAGATCTGGTGATAAACAATCTATTTGATTTTTTAATCACAAAATATATCTTTGTTTCCTTATAATGACGTAGAACCTAGTTGTCTAATATATGAATTACAACAATACATATTGGGAATTCTACAACTGTTTGATATAAACTTACTAGTAAAAGCTATATTCAAGTTCTTCTTGTGAAACTTAAATTGGTATTTGGGTTTGGAAAAACGATTACAGATTTCAAAAGAATTTGATGCGCTACATGATCTAAATTGTCAACGGATATATATAAATAAATATACATATCACCCCTGTTCTAAAACGCAGCCGCCTAGGCCGTTTAATCGGCGGGTTAAACGCTCGGCGGTCGGCAGCCGCCGCGATTTTGGTTAATCGGCTATATAATCGGAATTTTTTTAAAAAAGTTTCATTTTTTCTGGTTATAAGGTTGATAACGTAATATGGATTGTAGATCTGTTGCAATTGGGTAAAAATCCAAAGAAAACAAAGCAAAGAATGACATAATTGTGAAAAAACAAAAAAACGGCGGAAATTAGAGTTTTCTGGTTGCAGGGGTGATGAAGAAGACGAGAGCATATATGTAATTTCACGTTTCATTAAATGAAAAAAAATAGCAAAACAGCAGCTTCTACGTATCGAACCTAGGTTGTTTGCATTCGAAGGCATGACATAAACCACTTGACCAACAACCTTCTCATGTACATCATCCGTATTATAATATATATATATATATATATAATAAAATTACATATAATAAATCCCGATTAATCCCCATTTAATCTCCGATTTTTTCGCTAGGCGCTAGGCCCAACCCGAGCGCCCGACTAGCGCCTAGCGATTTTTTGAACATGGCATATCACACATATAAACGTAAAACGTCCAGGTCTATCTACTCTTTATGGTTTTCAACATTTTTGCGTCGATGCCTCAAATATTGTTTGTTTTCTTAACTAGACAGAAAAAGTTATATATAAATTATTAGTAACGACTATAACTTTTTAGATTTTCCGTTGTAGAAATTAGGCTGAGTTTTTTTGTTACAACTATAAGATCTAGACTTTTGATTATGAAAAATTAGTAGTGTAGTATGTAATTTGTAAGAATTGACCGAGTGTCGTTAGATCCTAGGCGAAGTTTAGAGGTCGTCTGTTCGAGTGACGCTTGGACGAAACTAATGTTTTGGATTTATGGGGATTACGACTTTTGGTCCAGAACCGCCTGGTATTTTAAAAAAAAAAATTGTAAGAATTGAGAAATCAAAAATAGCCAACAAAAACCAAGTCCTGAAAATGGTCATGACTAATTTTTTTTATTTTTCATTACAGCAATGGACACGACTAATTAAAGAAACAAAAAAAAAAATGAGAAAAAACAAATAAACATCCGTACTTGAGAAATTATAGTTTCTTTTAAGTCAATGGTTTTTTTGTTTTGTTTTGTTTTTTTTCTCATGTAAACTTGTTGGTACAACCATTTTAAGTCTTTATATTATCATGATGATAGTACAAAGTTTTGAGTCCACTTAATTATAAAGATTATAAAAGATGCGGAGCTCCAATCACGTTCAAGTATGTAATATGGAAAATAAATAATTAAAATTTAGTTTAAGACTTTTAAGCCTCAAAGGGCAAATTTTTTTTTTTTAAGGAATTTGTGCAAAGTCGAAATCGTTATCGTACGTTGATGTCTTTTCTCCGGCCACCGAAACGATGCCATCTGTTTAGTGCGCCTTTATAAATCGACGACCCCTTCGTACTTTTCCGATTCCTCTTTCTCTATTCATCTCTCTCATTCTCTCCACTCTTCTCAAAATTCGATCTTTAGGGTTTTTATTCCATCCGCTTATCGCTAATCTCGAGCTCTAGAGGCTTTAAAGGTATGGTTTTTTTTTCTCAATTACAGTATCGGATTTTCAAATTTTGCAGAAATTGACTATTTTCTGTTGCTGAATTGCTCGAATTGTTGTGAAATTAGGGGTTTTGTTTGATTCGGGAGCTCAAGATTTGACCTTTTTAGTTGTTTCGGCCAAGATTGTATCGGTTTTGGAGGTTGATAGAAGAGTAAGGTTACTTTGTTTGTGGTTGGTGGGTTTTAGTAATGGAAGACGGCGAGCTTGATTTCTCGAATCAGGAAGTGTTTTCTAGTTCGGAGATGGGTGAATTACCACCTAGCAACTGTTCGATGGATAGTTTCTTTGATGGGCTTTTGATGGATACTAATGCTGCTTGTACCCACACTCACACCTGTAACCCCACGGGACCTGAGAATACTCATACTCATACCTGTTTCCATGTCCACACCAAGATTCTCCCGGATGAGAGCGATGAAAAAGTTTCTACTGATGATACAGCTGAGTCTTGTGGGAAGAAGGGGGAAAAGAGACCTTTGGGAAACCGAGAAGCGGTTAGAAAGTATAGAGAGAAGAAGAAGGCTAAAGCCGCTTCGTTGGAGGATGAGGTTGCTAGGCTTAGGGCGGTGAATCAGCAGCTGGTGAAGAGGTTGCAAAATCAGGCTACCTTGGAAGCTGAGGTCTCGAGGCTTAAGTGTTTGCTTGTGGATTTGAGAGGAAGAATAGATGGGGAGATTGGATCTTTTCCGTATCAGAAACCTATGGCTGCAAATATTCCTTCTTTCTCGCACATGATGAATCCTTGTAATGTACAATGCGATGATGAAGTTTATTGCCCTCAGAATGTTTTTGGAGTGAATAGCCAAGAAGGTGCCTCGATCAATGACCAAGGGTTAAGTGGTTGTGATTTTGATCAGCTACAATGCATGGCTAATCAGAACTTAGGTGGCAATGGGAACGGATCATTCAACAACGGCAATACATCTGTCTCGAATAAGAGAAAAGGTGACACTTTTATACTATAACTTACAGTTCTCTCTGTAAATCGTTTTGGTTTGGGGGTAACTGTGGAAATCCGTAGGTTGTTTACTTACTCTGATTATGGGTCAACTCTTGCCTTAGTATGTCTTATATATTGTGAAGCAAATTTGTGACGTTCTCACTTAGTTTGCCTCATAGAGTTAGTATGAACTCACTTATGTTTTTGACTCATTGTTTAGGTGGGCATCGTGCATCAAGAGCAGTTTGAAGCATCATCAAGCTTGTACCCTCTATTTCCACCTGCATAGAAATTGTATTCCAAATAAGTTGTAGAGTTCAGCTGCAGCATCAGCTTCGCTCAGGTTCCTTTGTATTCTCATTTTTGTTTTTTGTTCTCTTGACTCTCTTTTCCTTCCATTGTATTTCCTTGTTGAGCTTGACAAACTAGAAGGATGATATTGTTAATACAAACTCAAATGTTCTGTGTTCCTGCCATTTGTTTTCATACTTCAGTTACTTAAGTTTATGTCGAAGAAGTTGATTGAATATTGGCTCTGTGCATGACAAGTAGCAATTGTTTTGGCAACAGAAGTTATTGATAAGATGCATGAAAAAATCTTACCTGCTGAATTACAGTTTGAAGGAGTTGGTGGGGGGTTTCTTTGTGGCACAAGTGAGATCTCGGGACAGGTAAGTTATAATAGATCCACTTCCTGAGATCTCTACCTTATATCCATTAAAAAGAACAACTATACTTAAGGATTCTTGAATCTTGTTGATTAGTACCCAGATTTAGTAGTAGTAGAGGGCAGGATTTCGACTTCCCAGTAAGCATCATGTTGCTTGGTGAAGAACAAGGTATGCCCATGAAGCACACTGATTTGTATTTAGAGCTTGTGGGGCTGTCTTGCTCTAGCCTTACTGTAACATTTCAATGTTCTCAAAATTGTGATCCTAAGTCACTTAGCTTAACCCTTTTGTTGCCTTTAATTGAATCTATTGTTTTAACTTTTACTTGAACCAATCACAGGATCATGCTTTGCAATAGGGTTTAGTAAACTACCAAACTCAAGAATCATAGCAAATGTCCTGAAAAAGAAGATTGTTTCGTACTTAGGATAGGGCATACACCAAACATGGTTAAATATATATTGGCTCAAACACGTTAACAACAACAGTTATAAGTCATCATCATCCACCAAAAGACTTGAATCATTTCTGGTTTTCATTGGAATGTTGTGCGTTATGGTTGCCTTCATCATCATCATTCCTCATCATCTTCGCGGTAGATGCTTTCCGCCATTTGCCAGACTTGAAGACTGTTGTCTTCAGCGACACTTGAGATGACCCAAGGCTCATCCTTGTTCCAGGCAAAGTCTGATATCTTCGCCTTGTGGCCTCCATGAGAGAAGAGCAGCTCAGGTGGACCATCTTCTGCATCCAACTCTATTTCAAGCTGCTCATCCCCGACCCTGACCGATCCACCAACTTTAAACTTACTAATTCAATTCCAATTTTGATTCAAAAGAAAAGGGAAACATAGATAGTAATACCTGTTGATATCCCACACCATGAGTCTTCTGTCCTCGCCAGAAGATGCAAGCACTGTTTCATGGTTCGGATCCCACTCCACTTGGAAAACTTCTCCCCTGTAACAAACCCCTCCCAATCCTCAGTTATCAACCTTCGATCGAATAATTATAGATAGAAGCATATAGAAGCTGTGAAGAAAGTGATAAACTATGAGAGAGGCATACTCGTGTCTGCTCAGGACATGTAATGGCGCAGTCAGCTTACGAAGGTCAAACAAGGCGACAGTCGAGTCTGAGGAAGCTGTGGCTAGTACCCATTCATTAAAGGGATTGAAAGAAAGATAGTTTATCTGCAAAACACAAGGTAGTGTAGAATGGTCACTTGAGAATGTCAATTGCAGAGTCGTTTAAGGGTTTACCAAGCAAAGCTGGCATGTCTGAGAAATGCTCTGCGCAGAACTTCAAATTATTTATCTATAAGGAGACGTTAAAATCTTGCACAGTCAAAACTCGGTTATATAGTAGGTATTCTTGAATTCGTAGATTAGATATAAGAGGGAGGAAGAAAGTTAAGAGATGGTTTATACCTCTCTCTCATGAACTTTGACTTGATGTTGCATTTGGTTTGTCCGTAAGTCCCATATAACCAATTGACAATCATCACCCACAGACCCGAATATGTTCTCATTCTTCATGTGCCATGCCACATCTTCGATGATGCTTTGATGTCCCTAAAACAATGTCTCAGGGATAATATCAGATGCAACAAGCCCAAATCTTCTGTGATTCAGGAAAAAGATAAACAAAGTTACTCTCAACTTACCTCATATACATGCATTGGGTTCAAAACCTTATCACTGGCAGTAGCTGAAACATCCCAAAGGCAGATTCTCTGATCTTGTGAGCCACTCAAAAGATAACCCTCCTTAAAGGAGCTCCAAGCCAATCCATAACCTTCTTGTTCATGTCCCATTAACCTCAGATCAGGATCACACTCACTAGTTTGGGGCTTTCCAGAGAGTCTGGCGTAATCAAACAGAAACACCTCAGAGCCACTTGTTTTAGCACCCACAAGAGTAGGCTTTTGTGGCATACACCTCGCTCTGTTAACTTCTCCATCAACACGTATCTTCTGCTTAATCTCCACCTGCAAAGGAGATATTTTTATGAAACACACTCTAATAGTAATGATCTGTGGTATGCAGAAAAGTTGCAATCATAACCTCTTCTGTATATAAAAGTTTTCACAGATTTCAAGCGCCTAAGAAATTGTCCAAGTTTCATGAAAACTTATCAATATAGCATATATCCCAAAGCCAAAATCCAAGCTTTTGAAATGAAAAAAAAAAAACGAAATACTCAAGCCAGTTGTTGATTCCGTCCTCACTTTATGCTAGAACTTTCGTCGAACACATGGTGTGCACATAACACAACACAAACAAATCCGCAAAAAAATAGAAACTGAAGAAACCTCCAGGAATCAATTACCTTAGGGACGATAGGTTCCTGATCTCTTCCACCTAATCCTGGTTCAGCGTCAGGTGTCGGAATAACGACATCGGCGACCATTAGAAAATCCTGGGCACCACCAGAGGTATGAGTCCCTAGGATAAGCTTATGGACGGCGAAGTAAGGATCTTTCGCGTATGGAATCGGCGTCGAAGGGACCCAATGGAGAGTTAGAGATGGCCACTCGAGTGGGTGAGAGATCATAAGATCGTATAAAAATGGAGTGTTCCTTTTCCAAACAGAGAACTCTTCCTCCACCTGATCCAATCCCGGCTCATCTTTACCCTCTTCCGCCGCCATCACTCTCTACCTTACTCGTTCTCGCTTTTTTTCTCCTCTTGGGGTTTTTCTGGTACAGTTTCCCGCCTAAAAAAAGTAGATAGACGAGAGGAGGGATGAAGCGGGTTTTACGGAACAATGCTGTTTCGATGTTCTAGAAGAAAACGCTGTGCCGTTTATTTTATACAAAAACGACCTGTTGTTACGAAAGTTTTAGCTTGAGAATTGAGAGGCTGAAAACTGAAATAGTATTGGACTATTTATTGGGAGGCCCACTAAGGATCCACTCCATTCTTAATTTCCGAAATTTATTTACATTAAAAACAATTATCCTCCGAGACGATTTTTTTCTTTTTCATAATAAGTTTGTTTTTTTTATTTTACTAATGACTATCGTGTAAAATGAAAACTCCTTTGATCTAGTAGTTAAACAATCAAGACTTAGTGGTTTCACATTAAACCTAGGATTCAATTTCTTTTAAAAAGCAATAATTTTTGCATATCAAAAATCTCCAACGTAATGCGACCAATCAAATCCACATTGATGACAAAATACTTGAGAGAAAATCCTTCGCTAGCTTTCCACATTGATAAAGTTTAGCACCAAACACGCTATTGATGTGTAAAGTCTAAACCAACGCTTGTGACAATTAGTGACAACTAAACTAATAATTCGACTTCATCATGCATGGCTAATGATCAAATTTGCATTATCTTTTCGTTATTAGTCAATTCCACCTAACTAATAGGTCCAAGGGCTAACAAACTAAACTTTCTTAATTCTTATAGTACGACAAATTTACTTTTCTAAACACAATTATTTGGGCAGCTTACCGTATCATTATAGTTTTGATTATTTTTCTAATGCTATAAAATAATAATTATCATATATAATCGTATTATTTGGCACTTATCAAATTATCAAATATAATCACTAATTCATCACCATGAAATTTACATTTTTTCACTCGTTCTTATCTTAATACATACGTGATGAAAACATAAACAAACATCAACATCCAAACACAAAGACTAATCCCAGTAAAAAAAAAAAACATATCACATAACAACACAAGCGGAGGCGTTCTCGTCGCTAAACGCCGTAGTATAACGAACCTCAGTGGAGCTAGCACGTGCGAGACGTGACACATGTGGATCATACTCGGTGTTCCTAACGTACCCAGTCGGGGCTCTGTTATCATAAACACCAGACGCGTAAGGATGAGCCACCACGTCGTAAGGAACAAAAGGATATAACTCGGCTCTTTTACCGGTCCGGTGAATGATCCGAGCCACCACTTTGTTTGGCTCAACGTACCCAACCACTGTCACTTTCTGAGCATTTGGCTCGATGGTTACATCTCTTACTCCTCTCATTCCTTCTAAGGCTCTCCTCACTTTCCTTTCGCATCCTTCACAGTCTATCAAAACCCTCACATCCACCGTCTAGTAATTTCCAACCACAACATATTTATTTTTAAAAACAAGATATGACTATATATAGATAAACGTATATTTATGAATGGATATTGAATTTAATTACCTGTAGACTTTTGTGTCTCTTGGATCCATGGGAGCAATCGAAATATTCAGAGACGTGATCAAGAACACCCATTTTACTTATTTTCTTGTTTTCTTCTTTCTTTTGGTTTGGCGGAAAAAAAAGTTTCTATGTTGAGATATATGATATGATTTTTTTCCTATTGTCAACATAAAAGAATGAGTTTAAAATGTTGAAAATACGACCCACCAAACTCTATAAGTAGTTTTCGACCATATATTTTGTATCAACCTTCAGTGAGTCGTGTGTGAGTTTGACTCTCAAACGGCAAGAAAAGCCAATATATGTGTGTGTGTGTGTGTGTATTTGTGGTTATTGGGTCTATATGAACCTTGTTTTAAAAGGACTTTAATCTATATAGGTCGCTTTTGTTATATATGCATCACCAGTGTGACAATAATTAAACTTTGACAGATAGATGAAATAGACATTTGTAATACAATTTATGTTTAATTTGCTATTGAGCGAAATAATAGTAGTAGTTTTTAAGATATCTATATTCGCAATTATTGTAAATCTGATTAAACAATTAGATAACTGATGAATATTTTAGGATTGGAAGTTGGAATCTCTTAAGACGGACTGCTCATGTTACGTAATGGTGGACCACTCTTGACATGTTTATGCACAAACAAATATATAAATGTTTCAAGTTTCAAGTTTCCAGTTTCAACATCAGCTTCTTCATTTTTTATGGTTTCAAAATTAATAACTCTAAGAAACATTGCTTTTTTCCCTTCCAACAACAGATAAGATAAGACTCAATGAAAACCACATCTCATTTTCATTCTTCTTTTTATATAACTTCTATACATAGTTTCACAATTTTGATTAGTATATGTTACATGTTATGAGATAACCATTGGTCCATATTAAATTACAAAACAATATTTTATTTTGCGGGGCAACCATCCATAACTAATTCACTAGCCTCTGGGGCCTGGAGGAGCTTTCATACCAACTTAAAATAGCAAAACTATATCATATATAATCTATATGGGTATACTAGAAAACAAATCACGTTTCTTTGTAAAATAAAAGTTGCATGGTTAGTTGTAACTTAATTCAACGTGAATGATGTAACGATTTTGTCATCACAAATTAAAGATTCATATAACTTGGGAAATCGGAAATATGTGTCTGTATCTACTAGTCACTCATAATTGGTTATGTTTGCTTCATCCATGTGTTCATTGTGTTGATAATTCGGATTAAATATCAGAATTCTCGTCTTGGCATCATTGCTCACAAATTTTGCTGTACTAATAAAAAGCACAAACCCAAATGGAGTCATGACACAGGATTTAAAACTTCTATATGATATATATGTTGTATGAAACAAATAGATTGCAAGAAATTAATAGATCTGATGATATGCATATTTTGATCCTGTTTTCTGTATAGAGTCAACCCAAACCATCAAATTTTTGGCAGTGTTTTATTTTCATGTAATCTGCATTCGAATATTGCTAGGTTTATAAAGAGTTTTGGTCCTCTGAAATCCAAAAAAAAAAAAACTATTTTTACCTGATTTTCATGCACTTTTTTCTCTTTGGAAACCTAACATTAGTTGGCAACAAATAAGGGAAAAAACAACATTCTGACGAGTAAGCCATGATAACAATGGGCCCTTATTAATAAAATCCCTGATGGCAAGGCCCAATATATACAAGATTATACTTTGTGTTGTATATTCCATTATGGTTGGTTCATTGTGATCTGTTAACGAGTTTAGGTTTTCGATTTAATAACCTTATCTATGTTAGAAACCTTCAGCAATTCACCATAAATGTCAAAAACATCATAAGCTTAGTTTAATCATAAAATGGGAAAATTTTAAACGAAGTAGACCAAAATTTTGTGACTCCTTTTAAACGATTTTTTCTCTGAATCGCAAATTCTCTTTTTTTCTTAACCACTTCAGTGTCTAGATATGAATGAACCAAACCTTTTCTGAGTCATATTCTACTAATTATATTGGAACATCATGGTCGTATGGGGCAGCTATTGAATATATATAGTTTGTTTTACTGAAAATGATAGTTAAGAGGAATATGATGGAAATAATTTTATTTGTAAGTGGTGATTAATTAAGAAAAGTGGGATTTTTAAAAAGAATTAACAAACAATATAAAAAATTGGATGTATTTTATAGAAGAAACTTGTATGGATTTATAGTCTTTTAACTGTTTACGATTTATTAAAACAATTTTAGTGTTGTAAAGAAAATGGAACTCAAACAGTATAGTGGAATCCACTCCAAACTCCAAAAGAAAGAGAATCTGTTGTTTTACGCTGGTCCAAAAAACTGAGTGAAAAAAGCAATTCTTTTCCCTTAAGAAAATTTCAACTTCGATGGTTAACTTTTAAAAGAATAAAGAAAATGCCTTTAAAATTCTTCCTTTAAAAAATCACTACCTCTTACTAGTCACAGCCGTGGTAGTGCACGTTGGATGAAAATGATATATATGGGTTTAATTTTAAAAATTTTGTTTTCCACATATGATTTGTTTTTTCATAATGAAAATATAATTAAATAAATAAAAGATTAAGAAAGAAAGAAAGAAAGAAAGAATTAATGGAGTGGGACAAAGAAATGAGTGAGAAGGAACTAGGAAGATAAGTCAAATAAATAGCCCAAAAAAAAAAAGATTACGTAATTGATGCAGAAATATGGAATATTGTGTTGTGTTGTGTGTGACAGGTCGTGGCCTCGATACTTTAAGCCTCTTGGAAACAAGAATTAGTCCAGAGAAAAAGATATATATACGTTACCAACACCGAAAGAAACTAAACCGGGAAAGTAGGATCATTCAATGCGTCTGTCCGATCATCCGGTTATTGCACGAAAAAAGTTCACAACCATCGAAGACAACTAAAACTCTTTCATGAACAAAGTCTACTAGGTCAGCTTTTGTTATACGTTACCAAAATGGTCCATTGATTTATACCAGTCAATTTGACGAAGAAAACAAATCAATCAATTCTCTTATATATATAATGTACTTGATTTGTCAAATTTTGTTATTCGTGCCAAGTATATGTCGTATCAAAACGGTCTTTCACGCGTAACACTCGGCCGAATTTTGTAAACAATAATAATACTAAATTAAAAAGTCATTTGGTCTTCAAAGAAATGTAAGAACCGAAGACATCGAATTTTGTATCATATAAAGAAAGGTACATGGCAATTTATATGTGAAGATGAATCCTGTTTCGTAGTCAAAGTTGCACGAGAAATTGTTGGAAATTTATTTAAATATTCTTTTTAGTTTTCTTGGCTCCAAGGTGAAAATCTTTATCTGTTAAATGAATCTTCTTGTTCTTTTCTCTATTTTTCTTTTATGAAGAAACCAGAATAATAATGTTTACTGTGTAAAAAAAAGGAAATAACAATGCTTTGCCTTTGTCCATTTTGGTTGATTTTTCTCGAGAACAGAAGAGAAAGTGAAAAGAAAACAGAGAGAAAAATAAAGAGAAAGAACAGTTCACATGAGTTTCGTGTGTCGGTGTCCATCGTAGACTGTGACACGAAGCTGACACCTTTGCATGGCCACGGGAAACCACCCCCCCATTCTCTTAAGTCTTCTTAACCCTAATTTCTTTTCTCCTTTTTTGTATCACTTTTATTTTTTGTATCACTTTTTATCTCAATTGTCATAATGATATTTAAATTGTTTTACAAAAAGATCCATTTCAAAAAAACGTTAGAACTTATTGACTTTTAAATACTCTTTATGGTTGATGTCAAATAAAAAAAAATCTATATGATTTATTGAATATTTTTAACCACTCTATATGAATTATTGATTTTGTATCGTGAGCTTTCTTTGTATATAGGTTTGATTTCTAAAACAGTTGTACTAAATTTTTGGGCATTCATCGACGTGGACAATATAGACAGATTTTGGATATCATTTAATCAGTTGGGACAATGGACCATGTGTTTGCAACATATGCGACAATGCAGGATCTGTAATGCAGTCAATGATATCTTACATATGTAGGCATCGGTGAAATATATAGTATTATTTTTGTTGTCCATCATAAAACCTGGGAAGTCGAACCCGATAATTGTATATTGTGTATACATACATAATAGTATAATGTACATAAAATCACATACACGTAATCTCTAACGTATGTCTAAACGTATATTGTACACATTATATGGCACCCAATCCATGGGCCATAGCGTAATATTTTATGGCTTTGAATGCGTTTGGTGATGTCCGAACATACCGAACGTCGATGGCAAACGACTATTGGCGACAGTGAGGGCCAAAGCTTATATTATCGCATGCATGTGGACTTTTTTTTTGTGGCATGCATGTGGACGTTATAGCTAGCTGAGATACAATTTTTAACAATTTCTTTTAAACGTATATTATCATTAGAAATGGGTATGAAAATTGCTTGATATTGATGATTGAAATCCGATAAAAAAAAAAAACTTTTTATGTTGTTCCATGGACTTTTCCAAGGAAAATTATTAGTGTTTTAACCCAAAAAAAAAATTAGTGACGAAACAAATTAAAAAGCTATTTCGGTGTTTTAAAGTCTTTCTATATACATCTTTTAATTGTAACTAGTTAGCTACATTTTTTTAATCTATTGTTTAATATGTAATTTTATCATTCTCTTTACATTTATGCAAGAACTCTGAAATTAAAGAAATCCAAAAAAGATAACCATATATATATATATATATATATATATATATATATATATTTTATATAAGATAACCATATTTGCTTTGAATTGAACTTTAACAGTACTCTTGGAGCCTAAATATACAATAATGAAGGGAAAGTAACATAGAGTAATGGAGGAAACTAGGAAAGTGATGTAGCAGTTGTACGGGGTAAGAGTAAGACAAGCTAAGCAACAGGCGCAAATACAAAACCTTGCTTCTCGGTGTTTCTAAAACGTACAACACCAACAGTCCCTTAATAGACTAGAACTTTTAATTTTGAAGTATAGAGTTATTTTACTCAAAGCTACGGCTACGTAATATACGCAACATGTTCTCGGTTTAATGTTTGAGATTTAGATAATTAAATGGTGTGGTGTGTGAAACTGGACCAATCGGCAAAAACGGGAATTGGGTGGAAATGACTAATGAGAGTGGTTTGTCACGATGCGTATGAGAAGATTTGATCGAACGCAATGTAAGGCTTTAATACACGCATGATGCTTTTACATTATGCAACAACAACACGTACATTTAGTGTAAATTTCGTAGTAAACACGGATTGTGTAAAAACGACGAGCTTAGTTTAGATATTTAAATATCTTTTAGGACGAAACAAAAAAGTTGTCGGGGTCGGTGTCGTTTTGTGCAAAGATTTTCAAAAGTAAATTAGGTTAATGTCCGCTTTCACCAAAAACCACGAAATGTTCGAGATACTTTTTTTTGCTACGATAAAATAATGAGACCCCCTAATTTACAGTGATTTATGACCACTTTGATTAATTTCCTAACGTCCGTCAATATCAATTTACATCTGACTAAACTAATCAAAGCTACAAAAATATTAAATTATATAATGATGTGTTCGTGTAATTAGCAATCAAAGATGGTTGGTATGAATGATGATATATATTAGATAAAGTGTATATTTGTAATAACTAATGGTGGCTAGGAATTCAACAACTCGTGTTTGTTTAATCAAATGTATCAATATATTAACTACATTAAAAACATAATTGATTCAGTATCCTAATTACATTTGATATTTTGATGTATCAATATTGAATGTATATTCAAATAGGTTTTCTTGGTATCTTTCTTGTATAGAGTATAGACCACATTAAAAAAAAAAACCCCACACGCACACACACACAATGAGACAAAATTAGAATTTTAAATAATTATACGATTCTAATCAATTTACAAATTCTCAACTTTAAATTGGGGAAAAAAAATCTGCTAACGAAAAACCATAGCATAGATTAATACTACAGTTTTAGACCGTATCTTCAAATACTCTTAACTATATAAGAACATTATGATCACCTATTTCACATTACTAAGAAAATGAGTTATATATTCTGATTAGACCTATATTCACATTTTTGTTTGCAAACCATTTATACTAAACATTTGAAGATGTGAAACGAAAAGAATTGAACGACTTATTATATATATAGGTCTGATACAAATTAAATGAGACCATGCAGCTATCACAGCCGCAAATTTGCAACAGCTATGTGATGGAATTGCGATTGAACTTAACTACTTCTCCAAAACATGGGTTACATGCTCTCACTTAACAAGTATGTAACATGTTTTATCATTGTAAATCTGTACATGTGTGTACCTAATTTGACTTGGCTTAATTAAGGGCATTAATCTTGGAACTCATGAATCGCAAATTTCATAACACAAACATCCATGGAATTGTCGCAGATAATATGTTCAAACAGGTGGTTTTTATTTAGTTCACACCACCCATAACAATGATCTGTTCTAGCGTTGGAGATATGTGCAAAGTGAAAGTTTTTAATTAAGGGTTGATTTTTTCTTTTTCTTTTTGTTGTTTCTTGTGTTGGAGCAAGAACCATCTATCTAAGATCAATCTTTTTAATGCAATTTTTCTATTCGTCCGTGAACATTCGGAAGATACCCCGACCTATCGGTGCTTTGAGATTAGCGGCGTCCATATATCGTCCAAAGAGTCTTGCATCACGTGTACTTTAGTAATCAGTAATCACCAATGTAATGTTATAACAAAGAGTGATTAGTGTGATACAACCCGTGACTATTGCTAAGAATGTATTGGATTATGGATATGCGGAAGGTGCAATGCATCGGAAACGTGTCGGTAGATACGAGAGGTGGGAATTTTAGGTTTTTTTGTGTTTTGTCCTTTTCATATTTTCTATTTTTGAGCTATGTATATAAAAAAAAAACTGCGGGAGAAACAAAGCAACACATCCACCTCCCAAGAAACAGGCGACACACACTCGGATGATAACAATAATAGCCAACAAGTGTCTCTAAGTCATCCAATATGCAAAGCATATAAAATACTTATTAGATAGGGACATGCAATAGTTGAAGGATATCACATGGTTTGCACCATTCCTCTAGCAAGATTTATGTCATAATTCATAAATATGGACCCTTCTCTCCATGTTTTCTTTTCTTACCGTTCAAAAGCCAACCCATTATAATGAAAAATTTGAAAATTGAGATAGAAAATAATTTAAACACAACCGTATGATTGACTATTTTTTGTCTGATTCTCTCAATACAAAAAAAAAAAAAAAAAAAAAAACACAACCGTATAATAACCAGTTGCATTTTCCTTGTATATTATGGATGAAGGTGCGCAAAACAACCATATAAACGATTACCTTAAGGTCGAAAGATTTTCATTAAAGTTCTTGTTTGGGCACAACTAACGACACAATTATAACGGTAAGTGTGTGAGTATTAAAATGAAACGTAACCACGAGAATGAGTATCGCGGAATATTGCCGTAGACTAAAAGTTCGCATGACCCAAAGTTCTTAACTCAAGTCCTATTGCTACAAAATATTAACCATAAAAGATGAACAAAAGGTCTCCTAAAACTGGATCTCTGAATCTCACTAAATATTGACTAAAAGATAACTAATTCTTATAAACGTAATTGTCGAGTAAACGTTCTTTTGGAAAAAATGAATCTAGACATTTTTCAAAACACTGATAAATAAAATCATAATTTTTTTTGTAAATAAAATAAATTTCTATGAAATTTAAACATGGTTTATTCCTATATAGTTATAAGAAAAAATATACATGTGTAATTTCTATGATCTATTATATAGTTAGTAAATATACTTTTAAAAAAGTTTATAAAAATAGGAAATATCTTTTTTTTGTTGTTGTCACAAACTCAAAATAGCTAGGAAACATCTTATAAATTACTTTAAGCCAAATTTGACCAGAAATTTTCAGTAGTCAACTAAAGCGTTTTGGAGTATATGATTTCATTGAATAACAACAATAAACTTAAATCTGCCGCGTTTTAATTAATTTCAGTGAACCAAACATTTTATAAAAGTCAAATGTTTCTGAAATTTACTATATTGATTATAGACACTTTCTTGAAAAATGCAAAGAAGAATCCAGATAAAATCAAAGTTACTCTGTAAAATCCTAATTTTATTAATATAACAGCCAGTAATATATACTTTTTAAAAGATATATGTCTATGTTTGTCTAAATGTATTAATTCTAGAGGCAGTATGATGAGCTGTAAATTAAAATAGTAATACAACTTTTGTTTTTTTCCCAATTTTGTTTCTTGTGCACATCTAAATTTATGCCTATGGTTGTGGATAACAACAAAAAAAAAAACTTTAACGTCAATAATTTGTAACAATGTGTGTTATATGGCTGTTTTTGTTTCCTTATAATGGCGTAACCTTTTCTAGAACAAAATAATGGGTAAAATAAGCCATTGTTTGACTAAGAAAATTACAATTACTTCATAATTAGAAAAAGAACAAAAAAGTGGTAAAAAATAGAACAAAAATCAAATAATTCAGGCGTTCCAGATGACCCAACTGACCAATTCAGAGGAAACAATAAATTTCAAATCAGAGAAAATAGAAGTAAATAAAAAAGAAAACCCAAAATATAGAAAAAAAAGAAGAAAAAAAATCTTTGTCCTGCCATAATTCCACTTGGACTTGTATAATTTTTACACATTATCGAAAAAGCCGAAAAGAATAATTAAAAAAAAAAAAAAAACTAGTACTAGTAAATAAAAGACAAAACGGCTCTGGCAAAATCTCTGACCTTGGAAAGATAAAAAAGATAGTTCAGTCACATAATCAGCATGTGTACGTCGTTTCTTTAGTGCTAATATTAAACAAAAGTTTTTAAATTAAGAAAACTTAAACCAAATCTATATATATAATAATAATAATGTCAGATAAACAATAACCCACAAAGTCTGTCCTCTCTCTCTACCTCTCCTATTCAACTTTTTCAGTTACTTTACTCCGTTCATCTTTATTTTCTTTTTCTTCGATTCTCATCAATACTACAAAAATCGACAGATAAATATATAAATATATATTGGTGCAGAGAGGTTACATGCATTGTACAAGTTTATTTCCCGAGAGACAAGCGGATCAGAGACAAAATCAGAGTCGGTTTCTTGCTTTTTGATTCCTCTTTATTAATCAGCAAAGATCGATTCCACATCTCTCTCTATCTCTCTTCTTGTTCATCAAAAAATCAAAGCTTGAAGCTTTTTTCTCTTCTCTGTTTTTGAGCGGGGGATTAAAGAGATGGCTATACAAGCGCAGTTGAATTACAACGCTTCGAATGCGAATCAAATCGGTTTTGGTGGGCCGGAGTTTTCTTTGATCAACAACAATGGCGTTATCGGAATCGGAAACGATCAGTCTTATCATCATGTCAATAATCTCCAGTCGCAGAAAGATTTCAACCAACAAGCTCTGTTTCATCATCAACACCAACAACAACAACAGTTTCGTTCTCAAAGCTTTTTAGCTGCTCACATGGAGAAACAGAAGCAAGAGATCGATCAGTTCATCAAGATACAGGTTCGTTATTTCGTAATCAAAACCAGTTTTTCAACGAAAGATTCGATTTTTAAGACGTGGGCACTGATAAAGATTCAACCTTTTTTTTTGTTTTATAACAGAACGAGAGGTTGAGATATGTGTTGCAAGAACAGAGGAAGCAAGAAATGGAGATGATCTTAAGGAAAATGGAGAGTAAAGCTTTGGTTTTGATGAATCAGAAGGAAGAAGAAATGTCAAAAGCATTGAGCAAGAACATGGAACTCGAAGATCTGTTGAGAAAAATGGAAATGGAGAATCAAACGTGGCAGAGAATGGCTCGTGAGAACGAAGCAATGGTGCAAACGCTTAACTCAACTCTCGAACAGGTTCGTGAAAGAGCCGCCACGTGTTACGACGCTGGGGACACGGAGGTGGAGGACGAAGGGTCGTTTTGCGGCGGAGAAGGGGACGGGAATAGTTTTCCGGCGAAGAAGAAGATTAGTAGTTGTTGCTGCAATTGTGGGTCTAACGGAGTGACGAGAGTTCTGTTTCTGCCGTGTAGGCATCTCTGTTCCTGCGTGGATTGCGAGGAAGGTCTTGTTCTTTGTCCGATCTGTAATGCCCCCAAGAAGAACAGAATCGAGGCCTTTATTTTCTAGGAAAAATCCTTTCTTTTCTCTCCTCTTGAAATTTTCCCGAGAAGGTTTAGGTATATCGGAAAAATGCTTGGTTTTGTATTCCGGTGAACGGAGAGTTTTTACTCCGGTCGATGACGTGGCAGGGTTATTTGGTAAATAGGGGAGAAGGAAAGTGAGATTAGGAAAAGGTTAGAAATAGGAAAAAGGTTATCTCAAGAAGTAAATTCTGATTAGGGTTTTCGTTTTCCTTTTTTGTCTTTTGTTTTTTTCCAACAATGGAAGAAAAAAAAGAAACCCAGCTGGATTTGATGAACATAATTCATATTTTCCTTTTATCTAATGAATATTCGGATATAAGTTTGAATGCTATTCTTTCTATTTCATGATAATTAATTTCTTAGGATTTTTAAACATATTAGTATTAAATATCTTAATATACATTGTCCTATAAATTATTTTCCTATATTAAACACTTCCTAATAAGCAAATTTTTGACCAAAAATTCAGGAAATGTAAACTAATATTAAATCTAATTTAAAAATATCTCTCTTTCTTTTTAATACTACATTTTATTTAAATTTGTAATTAAATCTAGTTTGAACATTTTTTAAAAAATTACATAGAAAACTAAATAAATAGATAAGTCATTTTCTTTGAAACCAACTAAAGAAAGAAAAAAATAAATTTAAATAAAGAAAGCATTATTTATTAATGGATTTGTTTTGATGTAGCAAGATGGTGAAAAGAGAGGTGGTAGTAGAGGCCGTAGACACGCGTAATGGAGAAAGCTGTAAGAATTATTGGGTTGCTCAATAATAATCAATATAGTACAGTGACAAGAGAGCACAATAGTAGTATTAAGAACAGAGATCCAATCTCAACAAAAGAAGAAGCTGAAGATTCTAACCTAGCTAAAGAGAAAAAGGGTTTCTCGGTTTCAGACAACAAGAAGACAAAACAGGAGCCAAAGATGCCCTTATCAGAAAACAGGCCCAAGTCCAACAACATAACATCAGTCTGGAAGCCCAAGTCTCCAACAGAACAAACCAAGCCCAGTCAGTCTTCAACTCTCCAACGGTCCACTGCAAAAGAACAAGAAGACAAATGTGAGATTGTTGAGAAGGAAACCTCCAGGAAGCTGCTCAAAAGTAAAAGCAACAATGACAGCTGTCTTGGTCAAGATATTAAGCTGACCAATAGGTTTGAGGCTCTAATGGATGAGGATCAAAGTTAACCTAGTTAGTCTAGTATAAATGTGAAACCTTAATGTAATCGAAAACACAAGAGAGAAATAAGATGGAAATCATTTCAGTCTCCTTCACACCTTTCATCTAAAAGCTCTCTAATTTTATGGTATCAGAGCCATGGTTAATCCAACCATGGATCTCTATAATTATCCTAAACTAAACATCTCAAACTGTGTTACCCTAAAATTAACACAAAAGAACTATATCTCTTGGAAATCACAGTTTGAATCTTTTTTGTCGGGTCAAGACTTACTTGGATTTGTGAATGGGTCATCTCCTGCTCCTGCTGCAATGCTTCAAGCTCCTCAAGTTGGTGGAATGCCTCTGACAGTTCCAAATCCAGATTACAGTGAATGGTTTAGAGCAGATCAAATCGTCAGAGCTTGGCTTCTTGGCTCTCTCTCTGAAGACATCCTTGCTGAAGTCACAGGAACAAAAACAGCTCAGGAACTGTGGTCAGCTCTTGCAAAACATTTCAACAAGGTATCATCTTCTAGACTATTTGAGCTACAGAGTAAACTACAAACATCTCAAAAGCTAGATAAGTCTATGAGTGATTACCTAAGAGATATCAAGAATGTTTGTGAGCAACTAGCTTCCATAGGCAGTCCTGTCTCTGAAAAGATGAAGATTTTTGCTGCATTAAAAGGCTTAGGTAGAGAGTATGAACCCATCAAAGTCTCTATAGAAGGAATGATAGATTTGTCACCCGCTCCTACCTTTGAAGATATCAGTTCTCGTCTCAAAAGTTATGCTGACAGACTTCTGAGCTACAATGTTGGTGTGGAGATCTCACCTCATATGGCCTTTTACACAAATGATTCTGGTAACTCCAATGGTAGAGGAAGAGGAAACTCCTATGGTAAATCTGGTGGTTCCCGTGGAAGAGGAGGCTACTACACTACAAAAGGAAGAGGCTTCCCACAGCAAATAACTCAGAGTTCTTCCTCCACTGGTTCCTACAACTCAGAAAACAAGATTGTGTGTCAAATATGTGGAAAACCAGGTCATCCAGCTCTGAAATGTTGGCATAGATTCAACAACAGTTATCAATATGAAGAGTTACCTGCTGCCTTAGCTGCTATGAGAATCACTGATGTTACAGATCACAATGGTCATGAGTGGGTTGGAGACAGTGGTGCAACAGCACACATCACAAATTCTCCTCACAACCTGCAACATTCACAACAATATGGAGGATCAGACACAATCATGGTTGGCAATGGTGATTTCCTGCCTATCACACACACTGGTTCAACCAGCATCTCTTCAAGCTCAGGTAAGCTACCTCTAACAGATGTGCTAGTTTGCCCAAATATTGAAAAATCATTACTTTCAGTATCTAAACTTACCAATGACTATCCATGCTCTGTGAATTTTGACTGTGACACTGTGCGTGTGGTTGATAAGGCAACAAAGAGAGTGCTGGTTCTGGGAAACAACATTAAGGGTCTTTATGTTCTGAAGGACACCCCTGTTCATGCCTACTACTCTACACGTCAACTATCAGCTTCTGAGGATGTTTGGCACATGAGGTTAGGGCATCCAAACTCCCAAGTCCTTCAGCAACTGTCAAAGATCAAAGCAGTTCACATTAATAAGAGCTCCAAAGGATTGTGTGAAGCATGTCAGTTTGGTAAAAGCTCAAGATTACCTTTCACCCTCTCAAGCACGACAACCTCCAGGCCTCTCCAGAAGATACATTGTGACCTATGGGGACCTGCTCCAATAATGTCAGTGCAAGGGTTTAGATACTATGTTATTTTCATAGACAACTTTTCTCGGTTTTGTTGGTTGTATCCACTCAAAAATAAATCAGATTTTCTGCAAACCTTCATTGTCTTTCAAGCTATAGTGGAAAATCAGTTTCAGAATAAAATTGCAAGTTTTCAGTGTGATGGTGGTGGTGAGTTTACAAGTACCAAGTTTACAAGTCACCTACAACAACATGGCATTCAACAACTGATTTCTTGCCCACATACTCCACAACAAAATGGATTAGCAGAGAGAAAGCATAGACACCTGGTTGAGTTAGGATTGGCTATGATTTGTCAAAGCAGGTTACCTCTCAAGTACTGGGTTGAAGCCTTTCATACAGCAAACTTCCTCATCAACCTGTTGCCAACCTCTACTCTACCTGAAAACAAAAGTCCTTATGAAGCTCTACATGGTCAGAAACCAGAATATACCTCATTGAGAGTCTTTGGCTGCACTTGCTATCCAACCCTGAGAGATTATGCAAGAAATAAGTTTGATCCAAGGGCTCTGAAGTGCATCTTTCTAGGTTATAATGAGAAATACAAGGGTTACAGGTGCTTACTCTTGTCTACAGGAAGGGTTTATATAAGTCGTCATGTGTTGTTTGATGAACAAGACTTCCCCTTTCACAGGATAACACCAACTCCTCAGATGACTTTCACTCCTCTTCTTGCTGCTTGGTACAAGAGTCTTCCTCCTCAAATCAGTAAAGAATCTGAAGAACAAGCGGTCAAGATGTCAGAAAACATTTCAACTACTTCTGAAGATGCTAATATTGTAGAGCCAATTCTTACCTCTCAAGACTCTCCATCACTGATCTCATCAAGTCCTCCAGCATCACCCACTGTGCATCATGGAGAGAATTATGGGTGTACGGCAGGCTTTGATCTTGTTCCTATGGGCAACAGTTCTCTTCCATTGTTGCACAGTATTGATAATGCTGACAATTCCTTGAGTGACTCTTCAACAACATCTCAGACTGAACCTGTCAGCAATGAACAAAACAATGATCAACATGAAAATCCAAATAGTGATCCACCTGCAACAGAAGTTACATCAATCCACCCTATGGTCACAAGATCACAAGCAGGCATTAGAAAACCAAATCCTAAATATGTTCTGCTTACCTCAAGAGTTGCTTATCCAGAACCAAAGACGGTTACTGCTGCTTTAAAGGATTCTGGTTGGAATGGAGCAATGCATGAAGAATATGAGAACTGTCAAGAAGCTGGAACTTGGTCCTTGATTCCGAGAACACAAGATATGCATATTCTAGGCTGTAAATGGGTCTTTCGCACAAAATTGAATGCTGATGGTACTTTGGATAAACTCAAGGCAAGATTGGTGGCTAAGGGGTTTGATCAAGAAGAAGGCATTGATTATCTTGAAACCTATAGCCCTGTAGTGAGAACAGCCACAGTCAGGTCAGTTTTACATCTTGCTACAATTATGGGATGGGAGATTAAACAAATGGATGTTAAAAATGCATTCTTACATGGAGATCTTAAGGAAACAGTATATATGACTCAACCTGCTGGCTTCATTGATCCTGCAAAACCAGACTATGTGTGTCATCTTCATAAGGCTCTGTACGGCTTAAAACAGGCACCAAGAGCTTGGTTTAATAAGTTCAGTACTTATCTTTTGGAGTTTGGTTTCTTCTGCAGCATGTCAGATCCTTCCCTGTTTGTCTACATCAAAGGCAAAGCTATTATTCTACTTTTACTCTATGTAGATGATATGGCTATAACAGGCAACAATTCAGAAGCTCTAACTATGTTGCTGGTGGAGCTCAATAAACGGTTCAGAATGAAGGACTTGGGTAAGCTGAGCTATTTTCTAGGAATTCAAGTACAGTTTCATTCAGGGGGACTTTTTCTTTCCCAACAAAAGTATGCAGAAGACTTACTTGCAGTAGCTGGAATGCGAGACTGTGCACCAATGCCTACTCCTCTACCACTGCAGTTAAACAAGGTACAAGATCAAGATAAAATCTTTGACAACCCAACATATTTCAGGAGCTTAGCTGGGAAGCTGCAGTACCTTACACTTACAAGACCAGACATACAGTTTGCAGTAAACTATGTCTGTCAAAAGATGCACATGCCGACTGTCTCAGACTTCAACCTCCTAAAAAGAATCATCAGATATATGAAAGGAACCATCACAATGGGTATTTCTTTCAACAAAGATGCAGACTGCACATTGAGAGCTTACAGTGACAGTGACTATGCTGGTTGTGGCTCTACACGACGATCTACAGGGGGCTTTTGTACCTTTCTGGGCACCAATGTTATATCCTGGCAGTCACAAAAGCAACCTACAGTAGCAAAGAGTTCAACTGAAGCAGAATATAGAGCCTTATCAGAAGCAGCATCGGAAATTACCTGGATCTGCAAAGTATTGAAGGAACTTGAGATTCCTCTTTACTGTCCACCGGAGCTGTTCTGCGACAATCTCTCTGCAGTTTACCTGACAGCAAATCCAGCTTTCCATAAACGCAGCAAACACTTCCAGACACACTGGCACTATGTAAGGGAGCAGGTTGCCTTGGGGAATCTCCGGGTCACTCACATACCAAACACTCTTCAGATCGCGGACATCTTCACCAAATCTCTTCCGCCTGGACCTTTCAACTCTCTTCGATTCAAACTCGGCGTCGATGTGCCACCTACTCCGAGTTTGAGGGGGACTATTAAGAACAGAGATCCAATCTCAACAAAAGAAGAAGCTGAAGATTCTAACCTAGCTAAAGAGAAAAAGGGTTTCTCGGTTTCAGACAACAAGAAGACAAAACAGGAGCCAAAGATGCCCTTATCAGAAAACAGGCCCAAGTCCAACAACATAACATCAGTCTGGAAGCCCAAGTCTCCAACAGAACAAACCAAGCCCAGTCAGTCTTCAACTCTCCAACGGTCCACTGCAAAAGAACAAGAAGACAAATGTGAGATTGTTGAGAAGGAAACCTCCAGGAAGCTGCTCAAAAGTAAAAGCAACAATGACAGCTGTCTTGGTCAAGATATTAAGCTGACCAATAGGTTTGAGGCTCTAATGGATGAGGATCAAAGTTAACCTAGTTAGTCTAGTATAAATGTGAAACCTTAATGTAATCGAAAACACAAGAGAGAAATAAGATGGAAATCATTTCAGTCTCCTTCACACCTTTCATCTAAAAGCTCTCTAATTTTAAGTAGTAATAATTTCAACATTAAAAAATTAGAAATCGAAAGAGAATCAGAGTTTGGCCTGCCATAGGATTGAGTTCTCGCACTTTCCTAAACAGAAACATGTTTCATTGAACACTTGAGCCTTCTTCCCTCCTCCATTATGGATTCTCGATCTCTGTTTCCACAGATCTGTGCTACCTAGGTTTTCTAGTCACTCCCTTATACCTATAAATATAAATTATATAATACTATATAATCTTATCATGTAATTAGATCGTACTTATATCAATGTACTCGTTCATTTTGTCAATAATTAAGATTGTAGAAAAAAAAGAAAAAAAAAACAACGCAGTAAGATTAATTATTTTTTGTCAATCTTTTATGATATATAGTTTTCATCTGGGACAATTTAAGATTTTGTCAAACATTATCTCGAAAATATAGAATGTTTTAGCGTAAAAACAAATATACAAACGAGGTTCAATAGTCTTTACTCTTATGGATAGACTAATGGAGTGATTAGCGGTTGTAGGGTGTCTTCTGTCTCGTGTCATTTAGCTCTACTAATAGTGTTTTTTTTGTTTTGTTTTGTTTTGTTTATTTACGGATTTGACTTTTGAGTCTTCAAGACCCAATTAGCCTAATTACTTTTTGTTGAAAAGATATTAGTAAAAACAAACCCAATCCGCCAAATGTTGGTTTGGTATAGGTTTTGATTTACGAAGCTCACAGAAACAACAAACAAGAGTGGGTATTAATTATGTGGATTACGTACTAATACATGGGCCGGCCCATTTGTCCCTACTAACGCTAGGCCCGCAATTGAAGGTGGGACTCACTAGATTGCCAACTATTTTTACTGATACGTCACGTATTTAAAGTACATAAACATCATCATTACTCAATTTGCTAATGGAAGAGTAAAGACGGAATCAACAAACAAACGACTTCATTTTTATTTTTTATTACTATGATTCGATCAAGGATTATGTATATGAACGGAAGATTTTGGATATTAAATCACAATATCAATACCATGTCTCGATTCAGGATGTCATGACTCATATTATAACAAGTTTAACTAGGTGATATTGTCTCTCTTTTTTTTTTAACCTTCGTTTCTCTTTTTTTTGTTAACCTTCGTTTGTTTTGTAAATGGTAGAGGTATATAGTTGTTGAACTCTTCTTTATACACATGTTGTTTGTTTTGCTTCTTAAAAGGATAATAATTTTAAAACTTGTGACATGTGCGCCACTGGTCGCATTCGTAGAGTTTTCCATATTTTTTTATGCGAAAGAAATGAGGATATCTTGGGAATATACAAATTATTGGGGTATTGTTTTGCAATTATCCAAAACGTTTTGTTTTGGATACTAGTTATTTTGCTTACGTATTTCATATTTAGCCACGTAGATGCATTTGTAATCTCATAAAACATTTCGATTATTAACTTACTGCCCTATATTAGAAAAACAAATAAACACATTTCGATTGGGAAATTAGGAAATGTAGGTAGGTAAAGTATATAAGCAGATGAGGAAATAATGGCAAGGAAGACAAAGAAAGTGGTTGCGTCGTGGATTCCATATATATGCGCTTTACTTTTCCTTTTGTTAGGCGAAAATTTTGACATTTTCTAACAAACATCCACATTTATTTTCGCATAAAAATTTATTGGCCTTATCAAATATTATACACATTTTTATATATTTGATGGAATAGGCTATAACATGGGTTTTGGACTTTACTTATTATATACACATTCGATCATAATTTCAACATACGCTGCTAATATATAAAAGCTCGATCTAACTATGGCATGTTTAAAAAGTTCACTTATTTTGTCTCATTGCCAATTAACGTAAGAATATTAGGCAAGTCGGCTTTTAATACGGCAGTTGTCGAATTCAACATTTATCTAAACTCTTGAAAATTCGAAATTAAGCATATTTGTTTATTAGTAAAATTAACAATCTAAAGATTTATCATCTTCTAGTTGAATTACGAAAACTTTTTTTTGTTTTTACTGTGATAGTACACAAAAACAGAAAATTATAAGTATCATCGAATATTATATAACAGTATTTACTTTTTTCCTCACAATTTCATTATTATTAATAATTTTTTATATAAGGAATTATTTTAAAGAAAAATAAAAATTCCTTTTTTAAAAATCGTATATCCTTTTAACAGAGAAGCGCACGTACTCTCTTCTCTCTCAGAGCTCATTGCCTCGCCGAGAGAGAAGGAGACGCCATGGAAAGGCTTCTGCAACCATCTTCTTCTTCCTCATCAATTTATCCTTCCAAATTCCCTTCGAGGACTTCTCCTTTCCTTCCTCGTCTCCGTTCATCGAGTCTAGGCTTTGTCTCGACTCATCGTCCCGAGTCACGCCGAGTCAGCTCAATTTCCTGCAACAGTTTCCAGAACCCATCAGCGTATACGTCTATAGGATCTAACATGACTAACAATTCCTTCAATGGGTCTCCCCAATCGGAAGAATCGAAACCTAATCCCGGATTTCTCACACGGATCGCGACGACGGCTTCTGAGCAGCGAAAGGTACTCAATTTCACGTTTTGATCAGTGGTAATTAGAAATCTCTGGATTCTTACGTCGATTCTTGCTAAATGTTTCAATTTCCCTATAGTTTTGGGGACGAGCTTGGCTTACATTAGATTTGGGGTTTATGGGTTTTAATGGGGTTTGATTTGATTCACGAAACATATGAAATTTGTCTATATAATTAGCTCGAGAAGAAGATTCCAAGAATTACAAAAAGTTCCAATTTTGTAGGGTTATAAATGTTACTATCCATCAGTTTCAAGAATCATGTTCTCTTTGTTTTAGGATTCGTGAGCTAATTCGATATTGTTGACTTTTGAACTTGCTTTATCATGTTAGATATTGATACTCTCTTATTTCAAGCTCCACACTTGTTGGAATTCAGATGATTTTGCTCGTTTGAAAATAGAACTTGTATATTGTAAACCCAGATCAAGAACTCAAACTACCATGTGTCAACCCCTCTCTGAACTTGTGTAAGATCAGTGGCTGATCTGTCTGTGTGTTTACATTGTGCTTGTTTGCTGTCCTCTTATTTAGTCTCATGGGTGTTTATTAGATCTTTACATATCTCTGTTTCTTTGTAGACGTTATCTACTGGAACTGTCATACTAATCTCTGCAGTAGCTGCGCTTTTGCTTAACCCGCTTCTTGCACCACCTGCTTTCGCTAGCTTTCAAACTGCAGCTAAATCCGGTTGGCTAACAAGTGCGTGGACTGGTTTCCTTGCCGGTTGCTTACACACGCTCTCAGGACCTGATCACCTGGCTGCTTTAGCTCCGCTTTCAATCGGACGCAGCAAAATGGAAAGTGCTGCTGTTGGAGCTCTTTGGGGATGTGGGCACGACGCTGGTCAAGTCATCTTCGGTTTACTGTTTCTGCTACTTAAAGACCGGCTCCACATCGAAGTATTACAAACTTGGGGTACAAGAATTGTGGGATTGACACTTGTCATCATCGGTGCTATGGGAATCAAGGAAGCTTCCGAGATTCCAGAACCTTGTGTCGCCTTAGAAACCGACATCAGCATGGTATCAACAGAGAAAGAAGCCTTACCACTGCCCAAAAAGAAGAAGATTGGGTTTGCTACATTTGCAACTGGAGTGGTTCACGGGTTGCAACCGGATGCTCTGATGATTCTTTTGCCTGCATTAGCTCTGCCATCTCGGTTAGCAGGGTCTGCGTTTCTGATAATGTTTCTGGTTGGGACGGTTATCGCAATGGGAAGTTACACAGCGTTTATTGGGTCTTGTAGTGAGGCGTTGAAAGAGAAAGTTCCAAGGATCACAGAGAAACTAACTTGGGTTTCGTCTCTTGTGGCTATTGGTCTTGGATTGGGAATTGTCATCAGCCCATTCTTTGGTTTTAGCCTCTACTGAGAAAGTAAAAGCTTCTTCAGGTAAATGAGACAAGTTGAAATCTTTGTAGTTCTATAGATGAAAAGAGAGTTTTTTTTGGGTCCATTCACTCTTATTATTATTGCATGTACGAACAAAAGTCACGTAATCTTGCTTCAGAAACTCCTCTCGGAGAAAACCATTCGGTGATTCTTTTTATTTTCCTTATTTTTTAAGTGAAGTTTGGTTTTGGTTCTGAATTATCGAACAAACTGCATGTAACCATACTTTTGTAATATTATCAAATTATGAATGTGTTATTATTGCTGACAAGCATCACGATCTCAACATTTTTATACAATTCTTTCTCAACTAGGCAACCCACATAACCGGAAAAATAACATTCTGTTTTCTGTTAAGTCAATCTTGTTTGTATCATTTGATTTGAACAGAGATTTTTTCACAAATTCAAACCTCAAAATGTCAAAACCAACTTTATTTTCTAATGTCAGGATGTCAAAGCCGAGTTCAAATCCAAATTGTCAGATTATCACACATTCACACCAAATCTAAAGACCCTCAAGACCCCACACTTGATACAAGGACGTTATACAAATGTGGCCATTGTTACAACACATTGACAACAATTCTAAATTGTCTAATACCCACACATGAAATTCCAAGGCCTTAATTGTCTTTTTCGTTTCATACTTGCTTTTCCCTTTCGTCCAGAACATGGGGACTAAAAAACACATCTTTGTCGACAGCTCTTAATGTAATCCTCCGGTCTTCGTTAATATATGAGAACATATATTTTCTAATGTAATCCTCCTGAATGTACTAGACATGTCTGTCACATTCTTTCAAGGAAGAAGGATCTTTCATCAAATAACACCGATCATAAATCTTCAACATGTATATAATGTATTATTCTGATAAACAGGAGACAAAACTAAAGGTCACAACAACACACAAGGTTTTTTTGGTCTTTAAACAGATACTATTACAACATAGCACATAAGATCCACATGATGAAGATTGTATTATCGCAACTTTGATCTCTTCCCATCTTCTTTCTTCTCTGCTAATTAGAACCACACAAAGGCCAATCAAGAATTTCTTTCACTAGCAACACTCATTTTAGATGCTTGGTCTCACGTTGAGACGGCTTGCCAGCTTCTGTCCCAGAGACTTGTCAGCCTGTTTCACACAGTTTTTACCCATCAGTGTCAAAAATGTTAAAAACTTGACAACTTTTCAACTACTGAGACTTGGAGAAAGAGACAATGACTGTAAAAGAGATTCAGATATCAGACCTGAGACCAGTAAGAGATCCAGATGCTGCGGATTTCATGCGTGATGCGAGGGTCGGATAAGGCTTCAATCCATCTCTGGATGAATCGTTCTTGCCTGAAGTTGAAATCAAACCGTAAAACATTAAGAATACAGATGTTTCTCTTATGCATTAAGAGTATCATTAGAAAAAGAAAAAAACTATTGGTACCTCTCTGGTGTAAAAGAACGGTATCTCTCTCCAGGCTCCTTGAAGTTGTTCTCTTTCTCAATAATGCACTGCAAAACAGAGTTCAAGCCTTTAGAACATATGTTTCTTATGTAAAACCAATCCATGAGAAACAGAAACAGAGAGGAAAACAGAATTGATTACTGACCCTCTCACGTTTGCCAGAGCAGACAGCAGGTGGAGTTGGATACTTCTCAGCATGACGAACCGGGTCATACCTCGACGGGAAGTAATTGACCTGTAACAACAGCTTCTTGTAAGATTATGATATTCTAGCTTTAAGTTCGATATAAAGATGTAGATATTGTCATAGTAAGTACCTCCTCGTCCCTGTGCATGAAATTCATGAATCCCTCATGGTGGTTGTTGTGGTGAGCACATTTTGGGGCATTGACTGGTAGCTGAAGGTAGTTTGGCCCAAGACGGTGTCTCTGAGTGTCGGCGTAGGAGAAGACACGGGTTTGAAGCAGCTTGTCGTCTGAGTAGTGTATCCCGGGAACAATAATTGCAGGGCAGAAGGCAAGTTGCTCATTCTCTGCAAAGAAGTTGTCAATGTTCTTGTTCAACACCATACGTCCAACAGGTTGGAGAGGTAAGATATCTTCAGGCCAAGTCTTGGTCACATCGAGGGGGTCAAAGTCGAACTTGTCTTCATCAGCTGGATCAATGATTTGGATAAAGAGCTTCCATTCAGGGTAGTTTCCAGCAGCAATTGAGTCATACAAGTCCTGAGTCGCGTGACTGTGGTTCGTTCCTCCAACACGAATCGCATCTTCTTCCAAAAGAGACTTGACTCCACAAGTTGGTTTCCAGTGGAACTTCACGTAGTGAGCTTTGCCAGCTTTGTTGATCAACATGTAAGTGTTGACACCCGAGCCATCCATGTGTCTGTAATCTTGTGGGATACCGATATCATCGAAGAGGAAAGTGAACATGTTCAAACTTTCAGGGTGGTGGGAGAAGAAGTCAAGAATTCTCCAGTTCTCCTGGATGTGAGATTTCGGGTTTGGCTTAAGGGCGTGAACCATGTCAGGAAACTTCATCCCATCGCGGATGAAGAAAACCGGAAAGTTGTTTCCAACAAGATCAAAGTTTCCCTGCATATAAAGAATAATCCATTGCTTAGTATATATGCAACAAGAACTTGTAGTTGCTACCATTCTAATATGTTCAAACTACTAACTGACCTCTCTGGTGTAGAACTTGACTGCAAAACCACGAGGGTCTCTCAAGGTCTCGGGACTTCCTCGCTCGTGGATAACGGTAGAAAACCGTACAATGACAGGAGTCTGAACACCAGGAGCTCGGAGAAAGTCAGCACAAGTGAGGTTAGATATATCATGAGTGACCTCAAAAAAACCTTTAGCACTAGCTCCCCTGGCATGAACCACACGCTCTGGAATCCGTTCCCTGTCGAAATTGGCAAGCTTCTCAACGAGATGGTAATCCTCAAGAAGGATAGGACCTGCCAAAAAAACAACCAGTCCAATACAATCAGAAATGCAACACTAACACTTACATATAAACTTTGCACTGTATGAGAACTACCATAGTAAGATAGAGACAACACAAATTCATATATCCAGCTTATATAAATGGGTTTGGTGTAGAAATGGAGAGGAAGAAGTACCTCTGGGTCCAACGGTCATGGAGGAGTTGTTGTTCCATACAGGAGCACCAGAGTTGGTGGTGAAGAATGGAGAGTTGTAAGAACTAGCTGGACGATACTGCATCATCACCAATACACATGATTAAAAACAATCCCATTCAATTGGAGATGAAATCAAAACCATCATCAGAGAAACTCAATGATTCATCGTAAGTCAAATCGACGACATAAACCTCCAGCAAAATCCGTGAGTAAAAAAAGAAGACGATCTTCGAGAAATCAATATAGAGCAATGGAAAAAGAATCATAATTTGCATATTATTTTAAAAAAGGTCAAAACTTTACATCAATGTCAGTATCGCCACTAATGGAACAGTTTGAAAATCCGAAACTTTAGGTGCAATTCCATGGCTAAATAACAACGTTTCAATCCAGTTTCGACGGAGAAAAACAAAAGACGAAAAGGTTAGAGAGAAAGCAAAGAAGGGTTTACCTTGTAAGGATCCATAGTTGATGAGAAGAGAGACTTGAGAGAGTTTGGAGAGATTCAGAGAGATTTTATCAAAAACGAGGAGATGATAATTATTATATTCGCTTGCCTTATTTATAAATGGCGTGTGTATTACTGTCTTTTGCGTTTTTTTTATTTTTTCTTTATTTTGGGGGGAATTTTTAAAGGTTATCGTTTTTTCTTTCTTTTTTTAGTTTATTTTTTCCTGATAAATATTGGAAAACGAACAAATGTTATATATTGTGGCGAGAAATTCAGGAACGTAATTAGATTTATGATGATCACACTTCACAGTACCACGATAATTGTTTTTTTTTTTTTCGTAATTCAACTACCGGTTACCTACTATTTATTCATTTCAGAAAAAATGGTTTTTAATTTGTTGTATTCGTCTAATTTTTGTTTAGTTAATTGGCTTACTTTAAGCTTATGCTTATCTATTAATTAATGAAATTATATTTGATTAAACATCACATTAAGAATTTGATTGGTTCTCCCGCTAGCACCCTCCTAGCGGTTGCTAGCGGTCGGTTGCGGTTGTTAGCGGTTGGTACCAATCATAGAAACCGCTCCATACCATTTCAAACCGTTCAAAATCGTTGAATTTCAAAAGTTCCTTCCCGCAAGCGTTTGCGGTTGCGGACGGTAGCGGTTGGATTTTTTTTAAAAAAAAAACCAAACTTTTACTTATAATTATTATAAAATATATTAATCCTATAAGTATCTTTTATCTTTGTATCACGTTCTCATCGTAAACCCTAATCAATATTCTAAAACTTTATTTTCTCAATGTCTTCCATTCAAACCGATGAAAATCAAGAACCAAACGTAAGTATCATATATCTTTTTATTCATTCATCACCTCATGTGTAACTCTTTGATATTTTTCATGGCATCGTTTTTTTTTTCTTTTTATTATGTATTATTTTGCTTTTTGATTGAATATATGTTTCGATTTATTTTCTCGAATAGAAAGTCACTTGCTTTTATATTGAATTCAACGTTATTTACAGTTTGTCCCATTACTTGATGCAATTTTTGGTGTTAACCCATCATAAAATACTATCTTATTACAAAATTTCTTTATTTTTAAATTACTATTTAGTAATTTATTTATGGTTTTAATTATTAAGCATGTTTAATTTTTCTAATATTATCATAATAATATATTGGTATTTTTATTTTTATTTTTTGTAATATTTTTTATTTTTTGTCTTTTTTTATTTAACTGCTACTGCACCCACTGGTTTACCAGTCATAAAACTCTCGCAAAAGCATCCATTTTCAAACGCTAAACCAGTCGTTCAAAACGCTTGGTAACGCTTGAAACCGCAACTGTCCGCTTTCACAAACTCCCGTAACCATAATCGCAACCGCTGCGTTTAAACCAGTCAGAAAGTTGAACAAACTCAACCCTTCAAACAGAAGAAAGTTTATCTTAGAGAATGAGCCTATCCTATATGTAAGAATTAATAGAAGATGAATTATAGCTTTTCCATATTTGTGATTAATTTTGAACCTTATTATCTGGCTGTGGTTTAATACGATCACCGTCGTCAATGTGATCCGAATTTAGGTTCCCGAGAACTTAAGATAAGCTGAACCCACGATTGCGATATTGTTAGTATATATTTTTGTATAAAAGAGTTTTTTAACAAAAGCAAGGAAGAGGACGACAAAAGAAATAAATA